GAGGCATGTAGGGTGCTGAAGGCCACCCCAGGTGTCACACCTCGCCTGCTGGACTTGCGCTGCCACCTCTCCATGTCTGGGTCAAATGCGCAAGATGTGATTTCTGAGGCCCCTGAACTGCACGTTCAGGCGACAGTAAAGGAGAATTTGGGGGCAGAGTACAGAGTAGTAGGAGATAGCATGGGGGGTTAGAGAAGGCCGGTTCATGGAGGACCCCCCAATCTTGCCCCCCAACCAGGAGTTCTTGATTTAGCATCTTTCAAGGACCATTTGGAACTCTTGAGTCTGAGATAAGAAAAGGGTGTGAGGAAATTTAATCCAGCCATGGGATATGGCAAGGTAGTGTAGTATGGGGGTGGACAGCAGGGTTTGTGGCCTGGTGGGCTTGGGGTTGAATCTTGGCTTCACAGGAACACTTATTAAATGTAGGCAAGTTATGTAACCTTGCTGAGCCTTCTTATCTATGAAGGAGGAGTGTGGTTATATGCACCTCATGGGGGTGTTGTGATTAGTAAATGAGCTGTCTTCATAAAGTGGTTAGACAGGCTTGACACAATAGGAGCTCACTAAACTGTGGTTGTTATTTATTTGTGCTGTTAGTTCATTTAACAGATGTTTGTTAGACTCCTGCGGTGGTCCAGACACTGTTCTGAGAACTGAGGATACAGCAGTGAATGAGGAAGCCCTTGTGGTGCTGTCATTCCAGGGGGAAAGACAGGCAATAACCAAGTGACTATATAATGTGTCAGGTCGTGACAGATGACATGGGAGAAATAATGTATGTCAGGATGGAGCAGGGATTCGCAACCTTGACACCACTGACATTTTGGGCTGAACAGTTCTTTGCTGTGGGGGGCCATCCGGTGCATTGTAGGGTGTTTAGCTGCATCTCTGACCTCACCCTCTAGATGCCAGTAGAAATCCTCAGTGTGACAACCAAAAATGTCCCCGCATATTGTCTGATTCCCCAGGGGGCAAAGTCTCCCCTGGTTGAGAACCACTGGGATAGAGAGTGAGCAAGGTGCAGTTTTGGACAGTGTGATTAGGGAAGACCTCTCTGATAAGGTGGCATTTAAGCAGAATTCTAAACAAAGTGAAGTAGTCAGCCCTGAGGCTGTGAGGGGCTAGGACAGTCCTGAGGGGACAGCAGTCAGAGGCCTCAGCCCAGAGTGCGCTCAGCAAGAAACAGCACAGAGGACAGTGTGGCTGGAGCCAGGTGAGTGAGGGGGAGAGTGGCAGGAGATGACTTAGCAGGACAGCAGCGTCCTAAATCGTGGAGAGTCTTGTAAGTCGTGGTGGAGACTTTGGATTGTCCGAAGTGTGATGAAATGTTACTGAAGGATTTTGACAGAGGACTGCCACAGTGTGACTTGTTTTAAAAGGATCCCTCTGGCCTCCAGGTGGAGAATAGACTGGTGTGGAAAGGGAGAGGCAAAGCTGGAAACAAGGAGACCAGCTGAAAGCGGTTGTTGTTGTGAAAGCTAGAACTTACAGTTTGGAATAGAGTGATAGTGGTTCTATGAACTCTGGTCCTCTGGGAAGCAGATGCCAAAACAGAGTTAGACTTTGAAGAGCTTTATTAGGGTAACACCTGGATGACAAAGGGGTGAGGGAGGAGGGGTGAGTCTTCACACATCAATGCAGGTGTAGCCCCTGTGAAAGGAGAGCTGGAAGAAGAGAAGGCACCAGCAGAGGAAAATGAGGAGCTGTCAGTAAGCTGGGATTTCAAGAAGGGTGACATCAACTGTCAGGTGTTGTTGCTTATGGATTAAGCAAGGTGAGGCCTGAGGATTGGCCATTGGGTTTAATGACATGGGGGTCACTGATGACCTTGACAGAACCACTTCCATTGGAATGATGAAGACCAAAGTCTAATGGAAAGCGTTCAAGAGGCAGGAGAGGAAGCAGAGACACCATGTCGACAGTCTTTTTGAGGGGTTTTTCTGTGAATGAAATGCAAAAACAGAGAGAGACACTAGGAGATGGAGTTTTGTGGTTTTTTTTTAAGACGGGAAATATACATACCATGTTTTTTTTGCTGGTGGAATGATCTATTAGAAAGAAAAATTCTTAAAGAAGATGGGAAAATTGTAATTGCAAAGTTCCTTGAAGGTAAAAAGGATTCATTAAGTACGTAGTGGTAAGATAGTTATAAGAACAATTTACTCCTACTGTATTAATAAGGGAGGAAGGAAGGTAAATGGGTAGAGATATAAGAAGAGAAGTGGATTTGTTGCTAAGAACATGTGGAAGATCTCTTCTGCCTTTTTCTCAGTGAAATAAGGAAAGTTATCCATGGTGAGGGAGTGTCGGAGGTTTGAGGAGAGGAACTGGAATAAACCCAGGGTCACAACACATAGTTGCTTCTCATGGAAAATGCTCAGGTTCTCTCAGTTAAAAGAAGCTCGTCATTGCAGATACCACTGTGTTTGCTTCGTGTTATATCCTGACTTCATGGTTTCTTTGCATTATCTCATTTAATTCCTATAACAGTCCTATGAGACAGAAATCCTACTATTCTTGTTTGCCATTCAAGGAAACTGCATGGAACAAAGTGGATGACTATCACCGTGGTGAACAGAAAAAAAGCTAATTGCAGAGGAATACGTAGAATGTAATACATTTATATAAACCCCAAAACATGCAAAACAATAATATATTTTTTAGGGATGCATACTTATGTAGTAAAAAAGAAAATGCATGGAAACGACAAGCTCCTGGTCAGTTAGTGGTTACCTGAGAAGAAAATGTGATTCTCTGAAGCAGTTTAGCTCTTGGGAGAGTAGGTTGGGGAGGGTTGCAGGGTGTGTATGCATGGGGTCTTTGATGGACTTGCCACACTGTATTTCTTGAGGCAAAGGTATACAGTTGTTTGTCATATTAGTTGCATCTTATGTATGTCTGAAATATTAAATACATTGAATAAACGTTTAAAGGAGAAGACAGAGAATAAAAGAATGTTGAGAATACAGTTTAGGAACCAGGGAAACAGGACTGTGCCTGTCTCTGTTCTATCTGTATTAGACCAGACACATAGCAAGTTTTTAACAGCAGTGCTTCCAAAGTGTCAGCTCTGTAAGTAATCATTAGCATCTGGGTAGCCTGCTCTGCACCAGAGGCCTCTTTAATCACTCTCTGTCCCCCTACCAGCACTCCCTTATTCCACATGCCCAAAGGAATGTTTTGATTGGAATTATTTGTCTTGCTGACATTTTGCTACAAACTTCTACTGAGTCAAACTAGGTTATGGAAAGATAGTATATTGTGAGTAAATGGTGCTGCAGATGCCCAAACTAGTAGCAGTAGGTTAAACTATGCCTAGTGTGTAAAAAAGGGCCTCATCTCCTCCTGGTGGCTTAACACCCAGGCTTCACCTGTGACTCCTGAAATCCTCTTCTTGCTTGTTGCCATTTATGTGATGGGTTCAGTGGCCTTGAGGTTTCATTCTGGCAGCCCTCAGCTTCCAGGGACCACACTTCCAAGGCTCAGCTCATGGCGTGGACCTGAACTTCATCCCCAGCTTGCTCACTGGAGGCCTTGGATGTAGGCTTGACCTCAGTGCCTCCACAGCCCTCTGAGTCCTCTCTCATCTTCAGCCCTAGCATTTCTACTAATCACACCGCCCTGGCTCCTCCGCCCCCCCGGCCCCCCGTCCCCCCCAACTAAAAAGACCTCAGACAGGAACCTGTAGTCAGAGAGAGCAAAGATTGGTTTGCAGGTATACTGGCAGGTTAGAATTTTTTGAATGATTTTTTACATAGTTTTTGTAATTCAGTAATTTTCCAGAAGTATAAGAGTGGGCCAGGTGGGAGGTTTCCTCTGAGTCTTTTAGGATTCATCCCGATTCTTCTTTGCAAAGAGCCAGGGGCTGTGACAGGCTGCCTGTGGTGGAGCACCCTAAAAGGTGAAGCAAAGAATTTCTATCATGGAAACACTACAGCCCAGGCCCAGGGGCCTCCGGGGGTGGACATGGTGCTTTAACATGCTATTTTCACAGCAGACTATACAAAAGGAGGTGAGCTCCCTGCATCTGGGCTGTTTTCTGGCTGCCAGGCAGGCAGAGTAATCTGGTAAAGCCAGTGTTCACTTTATTCTAGGCAGTTTGTCTTGGCTGGTCAATTTGGAGAAACCAAAGTACTTCAACAATGCATATGGTTGACTAAATAAATGAATGTATCGTTTTGCTCTAACAACAACATCTGGGTGCCCAGCACAGCACCAAGCTCTTGTGCATATAATAAAAATAATCTGTGTCAACAATGTTGCTAGCAAATCATTCCCACTCTCATGTTTCTTCATATTCTTACAATACACTGCCTCTCCTTTCTGCCACATTGCCACTTACCACTGTCCCCATTTCTCCATAAGCTTTGAGTTAAATGAATTTTATTTTCCTTCATCTAGGGGAAGGACAGCAAATAGGTTTCATCTCTGGTCCATTAAAAATGTCTGCCTGGAGTTCTGGGTTGGTTAGGATCCCGGGGCAAATCTAAGCTCAGCAGCGAAGAATGCTGACTGATTAGCAGCATCTGTGATAGGCAGCAGGGTTAGGGCCTGTGGCACTGCTGTCTAAAATACTCATAAAAATGTTTTAAAAATTAAGAAACCTCTTAACACATCAAACTATAAATGGTGGTTATCTGTAGATGGTTAGATTACAGGAGACTTTAATGTTCTTTTGATAGCATTCTGTGTTTTCTATATTCTTGACAGCAAGCATGTATTACTTTAATAAGAAAAAACAACCCACAAAAAACCACTCTTGGTGTTATTTTGAAAAGAAATGTCTTACCTGAATGAAATCAATGATTTGAATGCCGTGTCAGTGCTTGATTCTGCTGCTGGGCTGTGTAGTTGCAGCATACCTAGCCGGGGGCGTGGCGTGCTCACTGCCTTTTCCCTTCTTGTACTCCAAAAAATCCTTTAACCCTGGCCCATAGTTCTTGCTGTGAGAAGAATGTGGGACTGGCTGATTGGTTTCTCTTCTTCTAATGTGGCAGGTCGAGGTGGGGCATCTATCTATGGCAAGCAATTTGAAGATGAACTTCATCCAGACCTGAAATTCACTGGTAAATATATCATCTAGCTGGAGTGGGTGGGAAGGGAGAGTAATTTTTAAAGATGTTATTTATTTTTAGAGAGAGTGGAAGGAAAGGAGAAAGAGGGGGGAAGAAACGTTGATGTGAGAGAAAGACATTGATTGGTTGCCTCTCACACATGCCCTGACCAGGGACCAAACCCACAATCCAGGCAGTGTGCCCTGATTGGGAGTCAAATTGGTGACCTTTTTCTTTGTGGGTTGACACCCAACCAACTGAGCCACACTGCTCAGGGCAGGAGAGTAGATTTTAAAAGTTCATTCTTTTGGTTGTGATTCAAGGTGAATGCCAGACACGGTGGCATGGTGCCATGTAGCTGCCCAGCTGCGGCGCCACAGAGAGCCCTGGAGGATGAGAGAGAGTGGCGTCTCTCTCAGAGTCCTGAGTGATTTAGAATGCTGGTCTGAGTGTTCTAGACTCTACTCGTTGAATGTTGCTCTTATAAAATAACAATATGAAAACAAAAGCTTCCTCAAAGAAGCAGGAGACCTTGATGGAGTTTTTTAGGGTAATTGGGAGCACAGTCCAGTGATTAGTGAACATCCTCATGGACAGGCTGGAGGGTAGGTGAAGATGAGGTCATCAGGGTGGTGCAGTTAATGGGCTTTGTGCAAAGGCAGAGAGCCTGCCCTGAGGGGAGGTTGTCTGGGTGGAGTAGTTGATGATAGAGGCAAGAATGAATTCTGGCTTCTTTTCATCCCTAAAGTGGTGCAGTAGCTCCAGATTAGAGCTGTGGGGGTTATTCATACTCTTTCCTCTCTTCCTTTTTCCTACCAGGGGCTGGAATTCTTGCAATGGCCAATGCAGGGCCAGATACCAATGGCAGCCAGTTCTTTGTGACACTAGCTCCCACCCAGTGGCTTGACGGCAAACACACAATTTTTGGCCGTGTGTGCCAGGGTATAGGAATGGTGAATCGAGTGGGAATGGTGGAAACAAATTCCCAGGACCGCCCTGTGGATGACGTGAAGATCATCAAGGCATACCCTTCTGGGTAGTCTTGCTGCTCTCGTGGGCACACCAGGTCTTCTGAGACGGCCCAGTCAACCAGCTTCCAGATGACCTACAATGACAAATAACTCTGAACTTCATTTTGGCCTTTCAAATCATGGAGCTAAGGAGGCCTGGGGTCTTGAGTGAGTTAGAGATGGAAATATATTTTAATAGAATGCTTCTGTTTACATCTCCCTGAGCCTAGGTGGACAGAGCATTTGCAGAAATGCCCATGCATGAATATACACAGGTTGCTGCCCCCTGCAGACAACCCACACCGCTCCTTCACGTGTGTATCTGCCCTCATACACTTGGAACAAAATGAAGCAAACTCTGTCATTTCTCAGTGTCCAACCAAACTTCTTTCTGCAAAGATTTATATTCTGGGCCTACACTGCAGTCTTTGGTGGCTGACGGCCACAGAATTCAAAACCAAGTAGTGTCTGTCAGCCTTCTGAACTCTGCACACCCTGTTTCAGTTTCCTACATTTGTTCTTCCCGGGAATGTCTGCATCTTTCTATGTTTTTTCCCTCTCAAAACCAGAACATCAACGCTGCTGTTTCTGACACTTAGACATCCTACACAAAGCCACATTGGATTTTTGCCAAATGAAAAATGCATCCAACAATCAAGTTTCTAAGAAGGTGCCAAGTGGGGAATGATAATGTGTAATAATCAAGAAATGAATTTATTAAAGGAAGCAGAAACATTGACCATTTTTTTCCCAGGAAGGAGTAGAAATCTGTAGTAAGCGTAAAGACAGGCTATGAATTCTCCTTAAAACAAACAAACAAATAGTATTCTCATAAAGGAGAAGTACCACTTAAGTTTTTGTAAACCTAAGACTTTAGAGAAACTAACAGATTTTATTTTTTTTTAATTTTTTTGATTTTTTTATGAGGTGGGGGTGATGAGAGAAAGGAAGTTAATACCTATGTAATACATAGAAACTTCCTAAATAAAATGCCATTGGTTGAAATCTTTGCTGAGGTCTGATTTTAAATATTGTAGGAGATTCTATTAGCCATTTTAGTCTCTGAACTATCTCAGGTAGTATCATCTTTAAGATTCCACATCATTTTAGGTTTGTGGATGTCCAGTGGACTTCTCCCATTCAAGAACAAGTCTGACTTTAAAAAGGCAGAACCAACGAAAGAAGTTGTGATCTCCATTAACATTTCCAAGTGAGGAGGAGATCCTTGTAGATTGACCAGGTTGGATGTGCTGAGAGACTTAAACCATCCCTCAGACTTGCAAGAGATACACCTGCCTATATCATCAGAGGCAGTATGTGTTGTAATGTTTGCTTTCTTAAACTGGTAGCTTGAATATGTTTCCTTAGCACTCTATAAATTTTGGAAATGGTGATTTGCTCCATGGAATGACCAAACAGGGTTCTTTTCCACAAGCGTTGCCCATGTTCAGCCATTCTCCGTCCTTCTCTCTTTTCTCTCAACAAAAAAGGAAAACCCAACAACAAACTATGTAAGTGACTGTAACTTCCCAGACATGTTTTTGGGGTGCAAAATACTGTTCTGGGAAGTTAGAAATACATTTATTTAAGCCTGAACTGGGCAAACATAACTGGATCCACCTCTAGGAGCAAAGAATGACACACTCATCCAGTTATCTCCCAGAATTAGAATCCTGGAAATCCCACTTTCATCCAGGTCACAGGAGTGGTGGAAACCTGTTATCCTGTTATCGCTGCCTCGAGAAGGAGAGAAGGTTGTGAGCACACACGGGAGGAGAGCGGCACAGGCACGCTTCCCTGTTTCTGGGGAAGCACGCTGTTTCGTGCCAAGGTGATCTCACACATGAGCGTGGACCGATTTTCATAAAGGATGTGACCTCAAAGAGTGAAACTCGAATTGTTTCACAATTTTTAAAGATACTGCCAGTTAGCCAGAGATTTAGAAATTTCTGTTTCTATGTAAGGAAAGCTTGTTTACAGGGAATCCTAGGTAATCCTCTTGTCCTTTGAATGTCAACACACCCTCTCAGGGTAAGTAGTTAGGAGAAGTCTCATAAACGTGGGTGTGCTAGGGCACTGACAGCCCCTGCCAGTCACATCTCAGATTGAGGTGAGGGGAGCTGATGAGAAGGCAAAGACGACTTTGTAAGTTGGAGGGAGATTCATGAAGGTAGGTGTGGGACTGTTGGAGCTCATCAAGGGATGAGAGAAGTTCAGCTTCAGTGGGAAGAGTAGGAAGTTCTAGACTTTTAGAGAAGGCTTGAAATTGTGAGTAGACAAACCAATGAAGGAAGTCTTCAAACAAGAGTTCTTCAGGTGGGTAAGAAGTTTGGCACCCAGACTCTAAAGTGCATGGTATGGTCCCAAGGGCCCTGGCCCAGGGTTTCTCTCAGTGTACCACACAAAGACCACTGGGGAGTCTGTTAGCAAGGAGATCCGGCGTCAGCATCCATCCAGATTCTGCATTTCTTGAAGCTCCCAGGAGGCGGTGACCGCTGGTTTGGATACCACACTTTGGGTGGTGAGATCCTAGAGGTCAGGTTTGTCTAACATGAAATTGGGGGCGGGAGGGGTGGTTCCTAAGAGCATGGGCCAGTCAGGACCAGGACCTGATCTTCCTCCTGCTAGACCAGGGATGGTCTTGGAAGAGTGAAGAGACTTCAAAGCCAGGATGAGCTTTAATTGCTTTGGCTTTGGCTGCTAAGGCTGGGCTCTCCGGCCTGCCTTCCATTCCCACTTCAGTATACCGTGGATGCCGGGCCGTGGCGTGTGGCCCTGAGATGCGGTGTGGGCCCAGGAGTAGGGAAGACGGTTCAGTTAGTACGCATCACAGAGAATGCGGGGGAGATAACCAGCAATTACGACATTGAAGGACGAGGGCTCTGGAACAAGCCTGCCGGGGTTCAGATGCCAGCTTCACTGTTTATCAGCAGCCTGATAGTTTCTTAATTTCTCTGTTTTTTAGTTTCCTCAGCCATAAAATGAGGATAACGGTCCTAACCTCGTAAGGCTAGAGTGAAGATAAAATGAGCTGTAACAGGGACCAGCATTTAGAAAACAGCTATTATTACCAGTGGCCCTGGAAGCCACCACATACCTCTCCCACCCCTTCATCCAGACATATCAGCAGCCTGACCTCTGCCCCCCTCCGGGCCCACCTCTGAGAGCAAAGACCATGTCTTATTCTCCTCTATGTGTCCCCTTAGCACCTAATGCAGTTCTTTGAAGTTGCTGCTGAATGAATCAAATAAAAAATTGTTCTCTCTCAGGAAAAGATTGAGATCCGCCTGCAGAAACCGCTTTACCCCGTCTCCAAACACAGGCTTCAACTCGTGTAGCAGCAAAGCCTTTCCACTAAGCCCTCTGGGAAGTCCTCAGCTTGATTTATTTTTGGATTGTGTCTCCAGAATATGTCAAAATAGCTCTCCCTGCAGAAGAGGAAGGATTCCTATCCCCAGATCCTCAAGCCAATCTGAGCCGTCACTATGGCCCTTTCTGGCACTACATTCTTGCAACATGTGGAGGAGGAAACATTGAAAAGAACATTTGTTTAAGTGGCAGAGTTTACTGCCTACAAATCACTTCATGGCCTCAGAGCCCTGTTGCTATATAGTAGATTACAATTCTTTAGGTAAATGTCAGGATAGAGGATTTTTTAGCAACATTCTTTTACAGATAAGAGAGAAGCAAAGTGCAGGGGAAGAAAACAAGTTAAGGTCTTGCTCTAAGGCTGGCTTGGTCTGGTTTAGAAATTGGCTCCTCCTCTGTTCTTCCAAATGGGTAATCCATGATCCCTAACTGCATCTGAAACCAACAGATGGCCAGTTGGAGGACAGAGAGATGTCAGGTTTTTGTGTGAACATGGGTGAATCACTTTACCTTGGAATTTGGTTTCTTTCTTCATTGAGCAAAGATCAGAACTAGGTGGTTTTTAACCCTAAATTTCTAAATCTAGGTCATTCTGAGAAGATTCCTTCAGCTGCCAATTTCCAGTTAGTACGGTATTATGGAAATTTGCCACTAGAGGCCACTATGAATACAGTTTATCCTTACAGCTTTGAGGGGTAGAAGTCTCCCAATCCCTCCCATGATTCCAAGCCAGGCCTGCCACCCCTTGGAGGTAGAAAATCAGCCATTGCTCTGTCTGCGAGGGCCCAGAGTTGAGATGTCAGCCTGGCACTGAACTGACAGGGTGACTCTGTCAGCAAGTCCAACCAGCCACCTTTCCTATCTTCTGCCCTGGATGGAGGAGAAGCCTCCATTCCTAGTAAGGTGGGAGGAGCCCTTGTGACCAGGGCCTGAACGATAGCATGCCTCCTCACAGGGAGACCGTTCCCTCTAAGCTGCTTAATATTTCACTGTACAGTTGAATTCCTTTATTCAACAAGTAGTTCAAGTAGTTTGGGAGCCCCTTTTTTTCTGCCCAGCAACAGCAAATATTTTCATGGAATCAGAGATAGTCAACCAGAAAGGAGCCTTAGAAGAAAACGAAAAGTTATTGTTGCCCTTTCTCTGGTCCGTGGTTTGAGGAACCTTATATATATTTTTTCTCTTGATTCCCCAAACCAGCCTCTGAGGTTGGCATTGTGTCCGTATGCAGGTAAGCAAACTGAAGACTGAGAGCAGGTACAAACGCCTTGTACAGAGCGATGAACAGATGGAACAATGACCCCAGGATTGCATGGCTAGTAAAAGGCAGGGCTAAGACTTGGACCGGGACCTTCTGAACCCCAGTTCAGCCCTTTTACCTCCTCGTTTGACATGCAAAGGAGGTAGATGAGGTGAAAGAAAGATGATGTGGGAAAGCAGGGGTTAGAACCAAATCTGCCTCACAGGCAGGCTGTGAAACCTACTGCCCCGTCCTAGGGGGTCCCCATGCCAAGCTGGCCGTGAGACCCCAGCCTTAGCTGTCTCCAAGGTCCTTCCGAGCAGAGCCTGAGCCAGGCCTGCCAAGGCCCAGCAGGAGGGATGGAGGGAGGGAAGGAGCACAAATGGCTCTAATCAGTGTGTTTATTGGATCATAACTGTATTAGCCTCACCACTCAGCTAATCACATAGAAATCACTTTCCTCTCCATGAGGATCTGGCCGCAGCTCCATTAGAAGCTGCAAGCCGGGTACCTGTGAAGAAGCTCTGCACAGCCGCAGCAGCGGGGGAGGGGGAAGAAGCAATATTTCTGCTTCCTCATTACACTGACGGGGAAAATGGCCATTTCACATTCACTGTATAAGAAAAGTCCCCAAGGGAAAGGGAATCCAAGGTTCACAACTGTCTTTTTGGCAACATTTAGCTCTAAGAGAAAATGTTTCCTTGGTGCTTCCCTTTTTAAAGTATTTGTGATGCTGTTAGAGATAAAACCAGAGAAGGAAAGGACCTTGTGTTTGAGGAACATACCAAGGGCCAGGAGTTTACATATATTATTCCATTTAATCCTCTGAAGGCCTGTGCACAAGGCAGCATGATGTCCATTTTATAGATGGGTCCATTTCACGGATGAAGGCTCCACGTGGCAGGGCTGAGCTGCAAGTTCGGGGACTGCTGTTGCCTTCCGTCATACCCTAAACTCCCACCGGGACGGCTCCTTCCTCCAGCTGAAAAAATATGGAAACTGGTCTTGAAGCCAGATCACTGTGTGACCTTGACAATCTTCCCCAAGTCCCAGTTTTTTCGTTTGTAGAACAAAGAGCCCAAACCAGAGGGGTCCCTCTGGTCTAAACTTGATCAATTTTCTGATGGTATTTTTCTTCCAGGTAACTCCCAGCATATCCTCATCTCATACCCACTTGGAGGGGAAGGTGGTATGGGTATTATTAGGCCCATTTTTTAAGCTGTGGGAACCTGAGACGCAGAGGTACAGGGAGGGGTTCAAGGTCACAACATGAACTGAGAGACCTCACCAGCACTCTGCCTCTTGCCCCCAGGCAGGCGGGCAGACAGCCTCC